AAGGAGTTCCTTCTGAGTATTTTACCCCCTGGAAGAGCATTGTATATACAGGTTCACAATGTCTTATATCCCCCATATAACGGTACTATTTTGGTGATATTAGCTTAATTTTCAAGTGGAATTGGGTAATAATCCGTACTAGAAGTTCTTTCCTAGAAATTTACCCCCCGGTATTACAACGGTATCCCCCGATATTCGATATTTTGACGATGTTAGGGACATTGTTCACCGGAGTTGTTTCAAATTTCGTATTTGAAGTTCTTAATAGTTACTTCAACCTGTGACAAAAAATTGTCTAAGCAGGTCCAGGTCTTCGTATAGCCCCGATATAACGCTACCTTCCTATATTCGGTATTTTGATTATTTTAGCAACATTATTAACCAGATTTTTCGTATTTGAACATTGTAATAACTTATAGCAAAAGTTGCCTATGCAGGTCGACGTTTTCGTATAGATCCCAATATAACGCCTATATTCGTTATTTTTACGGGATTTTTAACGGATTTATTTTTTTTGAAAATTTCCAAATACATTTCAAATGATGGAGGGTATTCTAAGTTCGGCCCGGCGAACTTACTGCTTTTTTTACGTGGTAAACTCATTGGATTTTCATTACTCTATATTGTTAGGTCAATTCTAATTTTTTTTCTTCTTCACATTTTCCCACAAAAATTTTATAAATTCAAACATAAAATATACCATACATCAATTTATTTAAATTCAAATACACAAATTCATATTCACTTTTTGCCAGGTGTATGCATTGGAATTTACGCACCAAATTCTTCCGCATCACTTGCTCTTGAACACATTCAGACATACATTCGATATTATTTCGATATCTTGGATCTACTTATGGTCTATGAAAATAACGTAACAAGTGTTTTTTACTTTGACTGAGAAACGTTTTCATTGATGCATTGATTTGAATCAAATAAAAATATCTCAACGATGATGAAGATGAGTATAGAATTTATAATGAATGAATAATTGTTCATGTTTTTCTGATGGAATTTGAAAAACACATGTTGAAGAAAAAGTCCGATAAATTATAGGCGAATAAAAAAAAATAAATAAAATACAAAACATCATTTGTCTTATCATCGATAAATATTCAAAAACAGTGGCCACCTGTTATTTGAATAAAAGCATACATCAAAGGGAATGTAAAATTGTGTAGAAAAAACTACAAGTTTTAAATTTGAAGTCTGCAGGCCTAAATTTACCAAATTATATTTAAATTGGAATGTGTGTCGGAATTTGGTCTAAAAATAAATGGGCCAAATTATATTGAAATCTGTTTTTTTTTTGCGGATTTCGTGTATCTCCAATTTCAATGTAATTTGGAAGCTGTAACAGAATTTGACACAGAAGGTGTGCTTAAATGTAATCGGTTGCTCATTTCCCATAAATTTGACTAGTTGTGGTGAAGGTACTTGGAGGTGAAGTAGTACGTTCTATCCCCATCTTGTCTTGGTAAAAATATTGAAATGTGTGAGATTTAAAGACAGTACTTCTCTTATTTCACATTGCATAATTTCGACCCTTTGTGGAGAAGGTACTTGATTGAAATGGGAGGTAATCGGATCAAATTTGGATATAGCTACTGTCTTTGTCTTTTATTGTATACCAAATGTGTAATATATGATGGAATTTGGTTCTTGCGACCAAATTGCGCCTATAAGCAAATACGTGGAATTTGATGAATGTCGGATTTGTTATTTTAGATCCCAACGGCCATAATATGAACTCCATAACATAAAATTAGGGAAAAGACATCATCTCAGAAATTTCTCAGCCGAATTTGATAAAGTTCGGACCAGATTTGAATAGAGCTCCAATATATATCATAAGCCGGTTTTAGGTTTTTGCACACGAAATTTTTAGAATCAGTATGGATTTTGGCCCATACGACCGAATTCAGCCTAGAAGCAAGTACTTCAAATTTTAAAATATAGCGCCCTATATGTATTTCATCCGATTTGGTGTTAAAGTCCCTTAAATTCGTAATATGAACTTTACCACAATGATGTGTGGTACCAGATATCATATACTGCTCAAAAATATATCTGCCAAATTTTATCGAGATCGGTTCATATTTGGTTATAGCTTGCATTCCATATTCTTATAGGATACTCAAGGACCTATAGGCGTGGATTTTTTAAACAAATTTTAAAGGCCAATAGGCCTGGATTTTTTGATTATTCTTATAGGATACCCAAGGACCTATAGGCGTGGATTTTTTAAACAAATTTTAAAGGATGCCAAAGGACTAATAGGCCTGTATTTTTTGAGTACTTTTAAAGGATACCCAAGGACCTACAGGCGTGGATATTTTAAACAAATTTTAAAGGCCAATAGGCCTGGATTTTTTCAATTATTCTTATAGGATACCCAAGGACCTATAGGCGTGGATTTTTTAAACAGATTTTAAAGGATTTAAAGGACCGATAGGCCTGGATTTTTTGAGTACTTTTAAAGGATACCCAAGGACCTATAGGCGTGGATTTTTTAAGCAAATTTTAAAGTACAAAGGAACAATAGGCCTGGATTTTTTGAGTACTTTTAAAGGATACCCAAGGACCTATAGGCGTGGATTTTTTAAACAAATTTTAAAGGATGCCAAAGGACCAATATGCCTGGATTTTTTGAGTACTTTTAAAGGATACCCAAGGACCTATAGGCGTGGATTTTTTAAACAAATTTTAAAGGATGCTAAAGGACCAAAAGGCCTGGATTTTTTGAGTACTTTTAAAAGATACCCTAGACCTATAGGCGTGAATTTTTTAAACAAATTTTAAAGGATGCCAAAGGACCAGTAGGCCTGGATTTTTTGAGTACTTTTAAAGGATACCCAAGGATCTATAGGCGTGGATTTTTTAAACAAATTTTAAAGGATGCCAAAGGACCAATAGGCCTGGATTTGTTGAGTACTTTTAAAGGATACCCAAAGACCTATAGGCGTGGATTTTTTTAAACAACTTTTAAAGGATGCTAAAGGACCAATAGGCCTGGATTTTTTGAGTACTTTTAACGGATACCCAAGGATCTATAGGCGTGGATTTTTTAAACAAATTTTAAAGGATGTCAAATAACAAATAGGCCCGAAATTTTTTGAGTATTGTTTAAGGATACTTGTAGGCGTGAAGTTTTCAAACAAATTTTAAAGGATGCCAATGGACCAATATTCCTGGATTTTTTGATATCTTATGGGATACCCAAGGACCTATAGGCGTGGATTTTGAAACACATTTTAAATGATGCCAATGGACCAATAGGCCTGGATTTTTTGATTATTCTTATGGGATACCCAAGGACCTATAGGCGTTGATTTTTTAAACAAATTTTAAAGGATGCCAAAGGACTAATAGGCCTGGATTTTTTGAGTATTTTTAAAGGATACCCAAGGATTTTTTAAACAAATTTTAAAGGATGCCAAAGGACCCATAGGCCTGAATTTTTTGAGTACTTTTAAAGAATACCCAAGGACCTGTAGGCGTGGATTTTTTAAACAAATTTTAAAGGATGCCAAAGGACGAATAGGCCTGGATTTTTTGAGTATTTTTAAAGGATACCCAAGGATTTTTTAAACAAATTTTAAAGGATGCCAAAGGACCCATAGGCCTGAATTTTTTGAGTACTTTTAAAGAATACCCAAGGACCTGTAGGCGTGGATTTTTTAAACAAATTTTAAAGGATGCCAAAGGACGAATAGGCCTGGATTTTTTGAGTATTCGTGTAGGATACCCAATGACCTATAGGCGTGGATTTTTTAAACAAATTTTAAAGGATGCCAAAGGACGAATAGGCCTGGATTTTTTGAGTATTCGTATAGGATACCCAATGACCTATAGGCGTGGATTTTTTAAATAAATTTTAAAGAATGCCAAAGGATTTTTTTGAGTATTTTTAAAGGATACCAAAGGACATATAGGCGTGGATTTTTTAAACAAATTTTAATGAATGCCAAAGGAATTTTTTGAGTATTTTTAAAGGATACCAAAGGACATATAGGCGTGGATTTTTTAAACAAATTTTAAAGGATGCCAAAGGACGAATAGGCCGGGATTTTTTGAGTATTCGTATAGGATACCCAATGACCTATAGGCGTGGATTTTTTAAATAAATTTTAATTAATGCCAAAGGAATTTTTTGAGTATTTTTAAAGGATACCAAAGGACATATAGGCGTGGATTTTTTAAACAAATTTTAAAGGATGCCAAAGGACGAATAGGCCTGGATTCGTATAGGATACCCAATGACCTATAGGCGTGGATTTTTTAAACAAATTTTAAAGGATGCCAAAGGACGAATAGGCCTGGATTTTTTGAGTATTCGTATAGGATACCCAATGACCTATAGGCGTGGATTTTTTAAACAAATTTTAAAGGATGCCAAAGGACGAATAGGCCTGGATTTTTTGAGTATTCGTATAGGATACCCAATGACCTATAGGCGTGGATTTTTTAAACAAATTTTAAAGGATGCCAAAGGACGAATAGGCCTGGATTTTTTGAGTATTCGTATAGGATACCCAATGACCTATAGGCGTGGATTTTTTAAACAAATTTTAAACGATGTCAAAGATGTGGATTTTTTAAACAAATTTTAAAGGATGTCAAAGGTGCGGATTTTTTAAACAAATTTTAAAGGATGTCAAAGGTGCGGATTTTTTAAACAAATTTTAAAGGATGTCAATGGACCAATAGGCCTGTTTTTTTTTTTTTTTTTTTTTTTTTTTTTGAACATTTTTAATGAATACCCAAGGATCTATAGGCGTGGACTTTTTAAACAAATTTTAAAGGGTGTCAAAGGACCAATCAAGCATTTTCCTAACAAAAAAAATAGAGACTCCTTGCATAAAATGGTGAATTTTGCTCCATATAGTTAAACGTACTCACTAATAATATTATGCATTGATATGAAAATAATTGTAGCCATAGCTATTTACTGATAATTTCTTATTTATTTTATAATACAACTCATAAATCTATCTTACCTTAGATAAATTCTTGATGAATAAACTCTGATGATACAGCAGACATTATGATAATCGAGATGATAATGTTCTGGACATTCGTTTCAAATTGTATTTCACGCACACTTTTTGTCTTTTGCACTTCGAGTTAGTTGCACTGACATGATTTCGTTACGCGATGCACTTTAAATATTTAACTTTTGTTTGATGTTTTAAATTTGCTATAAAACTTTCTTCCTTCAAACACTTTTTATGTAGTTTATGTGTGAATGGAAATCTTGTCTTTAATGGGAATGAGTTTTGGGGTTCTCCTCAAATATTCTTTGTTCACTAAATGTTTTTGTTGTTCTTGTGGTTTTTTGTGTAATTAACTGTTTTCGTTGTCACTTTTGTCTATGGCGTGATTGAATGAATGAAAAGATTAGCTTTTCCCAGAAAAGAAAAATGTTTTTCTTTTTAAATGGCAATGTTGTTGTTGCTGTTGATTTATTTATAGAAATAATTTGTTTATTTTTCAATTTCTTCATCCAAAAAAAGGGGGGCAGTATTGATTTTGTTTTTGTATATGTTTGTTGTTTTTTTTTTTGGAGTATTAGTATATTAGTGTGTATGTTTGTTGTTATAGTTTGTTTTTGGTTTTGTATTTTTCTGAGATACTCTAATGAATTGAATTGTAATAATATTGCTTCTTTTGTTGTTATTTATCTTGTCGTAGTAAATATTTAAATGCAATTTTGTTTTTTGTTGTTGTTATTGTTATTATTTTTTGTTATTAAATTAATATAAATTGTAATTAGATTATGATATGTTTAAATTAATTGCATTTATTTGACATTCGTTTGAACAACGTTTGGAATTTGCTTACTGTTGTTGTTGTTGGTTTTGTAGAGTAATACGAGAAAATGGATTTCTATTTTTGCTTTTGTTTGGTAGATCGATATTTATGTAACTTTAAAGGTTTTCCATTGATGATGATGTTGTTGTTTGTTTTGTTTACTTTAAAAATATTTGGACTCTAGTTCAGTCTATTGTTTGTCGTTTCTATTTCCATAATTTCTTCAGTTTGTTTTAGTTTTACTCATGAAATGTTGTGAATAGTTTGTCATTTTTTTATTTTGTTCTTTTTCTTGTTTTTGTTATTATAATGTTATTGTTGTGGTTTCAAATCCCCTTGTTTTGCTTTTGGTGTATGAAAAGTCTTTGTTTTTCGGTTCGCCTTGGCTGTCGTTACCAATTCCCTTTTTTCTCTGTAATTTGCAACTTTTTCTGGGTTTGTTCTCTTCGCTCTTCATTCAATTCCAGTTTTAGTTCATGCTCCAAAAACCTGCAAAAAAAAAAAGAGTTGGAAGGGGGATATGAAAAAATAGAGAAAACGAAAAGGCAAATAAGTAATTTGTTATATTTATAGAATGCTTTGTAAAATAAAAGCAAAGCTATATTTTTTTGGTTTTGTGATTTCCTCCCAGAAATTCTGTGCCATTGAAATAACATTTGGGTTTGTACCAGAAAATACATTTTAGAGTTCAAAGTAAAGAGAATTTTCTTAGGTTTATTTTTTTAGTATTACATAAGTATGCTAGAGTTAAGTTTAGATGAAAGGGCTACTTTCATTAAAATGTTGTAGTAATTTGTTTCGATTTCACTCCTTAGTAACATAAAGTGAAATTGAGTCTTATATTCACCTTTGTATAAACTCATAATATTCATAATAAGGACTATTTAAATTCCATTTCTTAATGCATTTTCTTATGAGTGTTTGCTTTAATTACAACTATTTAAACCTAAACCTTTAAACCCTACACCACATAGTGGTAAGGGTATTATGTCTTTGTGCATTTGTTTGTAACATGGAGAAGAAGACGAGATAGACCCATAGTTCCTTTCGGTGATCAGTATAGAATCATATTTTGAGTAGATTTATGCATGTCCGTCCGTCCATCCATCCGTCCGTCCGTCTGTCCATGTATTTTTGTAAACAAAATGTAGGTCGCATTTATTATTCGATTGAATGAAATTTTGCATAAGTTTGTTCGGCCCAAGGACGAACCCTATTGAAATTGGAGATAATAGGTCAAAATTTAGATAAAGCTTCTATATACATATTCGTCCGACTTGCCTTTTTTGTTCACCAAACGTGTAATATCAGCCCAAATAATATGGAATGTTGCACATAAAATCAAATTGGGCCTGCAGAAAAGTATGCCAAATTTGATCGAAATCTGTTCAGATATAGCTATAGATCCCATATTATTGTTCAACCGATTTTTTATGTTTGTCCTCCGCAGCCGTAATATAAACTCTGTAACAACAATATTTGGGGAAATATATCAAATACAGCTCAAAAATAACTTTAATATATTTTATTGAGATCGGGACAAATTTGCATATAGCTCCCAAGCCCCAATTGAAAAGATACAAATTCTTCGGCAAATTTAGTCCTTTGAGGTTAAATTATAATTATAATAATAGCTTGTATGATTTAATTATCCTACTAAAACTTTTAATTGTTATGTGAAGCTCTACTAAATATGCAAAGTGGTGTAGGGTATCATAAAGTCGGCCCCGCCCGACTTTAAGACTTTCTTTACTGGTTCTAAATATTTTTCATAATATTTTGATAAGTAAATATAACAATTTGTTGTAAAGGTCATATTTGTGTACACCGTGTAAAGGGGATGTCAATCGACGAAGTCAAGCAAATTTGTAGCTTGGTTTTGAATACAATTTTCAGCAATCTAAATAATAGTCATAAACTCAATATTCAATCCACCATATTGACGATCTGGGCAATGACCCAATTCGTTTTGGTAACAATCGGATAAAAACCAGAAAGGAAAGGTCAAAAGTCAGGAGGATCCTACATCACTATGCGTGTTTAGTAGCGTTCCCGTACCAAGAAAAAAATCATTTGGAATTTACGTGAAGTAGATCATACCAACTATGAACCTTAGTTGAATACGTATCTGCTTTAGAATAATCACAATTTGGAAACTATATCCAACTCAAAATCGATTTTCAACTAATTTGACGGAGGCTCTTGTATCTCTAGTACCATATAACATCGCTGTAAGGTGTATGATACGACTTCGATAAGAATTTTATTAAACAAATATTTATTAGTGCAATAGAAATACCGGACCGATTTTAGATTAGAAGCTGAATTCCGTCGAAAGTGCAAAAATTCAGCCCATTTGGGCTGATATTAGCAATTTGATGCACAATAAACCTGAAATCGAATAACGATATATAGAGGAGCTATATCCAAATTTGATCCGATCTCGGTAAAATTTGATAAAGGTATTTCTGGGCTATAACTGATATTTGATGCCAAATATTATTGTTGTGGAGTGAGGGACTTAAAACCTCAAATCGGATGAAACATATATAGGGTGAGATGAAATAACTGCAACCAACTTCAGACTGCTGCCATTTCCAAGCCATTTGTCCGACAGATGTTAAAATTATTCCAGTGACAGCTCATAACATTGGTTACAAGCGTACAAAAGCGTTTTGGTGAGAGTTTACCAGAAAATATATTATTCGTGATTGATTTCAAGCGTGATAGTGTGATTTCTTTATATTTGGTTGGAAAACCATACATGGCTATCGTTAGAGTACTCCAGCATTAAAATGTGAATAAATCTCTTGTATCGCGTACCATCGCTCGTTAGCGTGATACTGGTAGCGTAGACCGACGTCAAGGAAGTGGAGGGAAGAAAACAGCAACATCAGCAGAAATGGTTCGAAAAGTAAAGAAGCGATTTGATTGAAACCCGCGCCGCAGTGGCCGAAAAATGGCTTGTGAGCTGAACATATCGCAATATTCGATTCGGCAAATATTGAAAAATGAGCTCGGGGTAAAGCCATTGAAATTCCAAAAAGTGTAAGAACTAACACCGCAACCGGAAGAAAATAGACTCAAAAGTGCTAATGAGTTGCTTCGCTTCGCCGAAAGTGGTGAACTGCCGAATTTGGTTTTTTCCGATGAGAAAACATTCGTTGTCCAGTAGTTTGTAAACAAACAAAATTATCGTGTTTACTTGCCGAAGCTGAAAATGTGCACCTTCGTTTGGCCACCGCAACTCAAGCGCCGGTCATGGTCATGGTGGGCCGGGTCGCCATAACAGCCGATTGTCGCTCTCCGCTCGTATTGATCGATCGTGACATCGGAATAAATATTCTGGAGGGAGTTTTAAAGCCTTGGGCATGCAAACATTTTGGGTGCAGACCTTGAACATTCCAACAGGACTCAGCACCATCGAACTCAGCACGCGCCACCCAATAATGATTACAAAATGATGTTTCTCGCTTCAATTCCAGCGCACAATGGCCACCAAAATCTCCGGATACCAATCCGTTGAACTATTGTGTCTGGAGTATTTTGGAAAGCAAAGTTGGCACTAAAAAGTACCAAAGTGTCGATCACCTCAAGCTAGCACTTCGCCGGGAATGGGCTAAAATACCGCAGAGCAACGTTCGGGAAGCGTGTGACGGTATCATTGGCCGTTGGAAGGCCATAATTTGTGCCGAAGGTGACCAATTCGAACAAATCTAAACGTATTCTAAAATTAGATGCTATTTCCGATATTTATTGCTTTCGTTCAATAAAATTAAAAAAAATGTAAAACCGAATCTGTAGCTACTTTCAGATTGAAATTCATTTTAATTTTAAGATTTGTATTAATTTTGATGGAAAAGTTGTGGCAAATTTGGAAGCATACACTTTACCTTATCCAAACCTGAGATTATTTTATTTTCACGAGCGAGAGCAATTTTGAAAACTCTTAATAAATTACAGCTACCGATAGAATTGTCATGGTATAAAACCAATATTGGAGTCGAGCCAAACTCCAAAAAATAACCTGATTTGAGGATCCAGCTTGAATCTAACCATTTTCATTTATTCGCAATTAAATTCGTTTCAATCAAATAATATGGACATTACATTGTTGTCATTGTTACGCCAGGCATCTGATTCCAGCCAAAAATCGAGTAACAAACAAGTTTACTATCTATTCGACTTTCTTTCATGATACTACATAGATATATATGTATTTTAAATACATAATGAATGTTTATACAAACAACAAAGTATACAAATTTACATTCGTATGCAAGCAATGTTGGGCGAATGCCTGGCCATGTCCAACACATTTTAAAGACCAGAGACGGTGAAGGTACTTTGGCCTAGTGTGCCAGTGGTATTTGTGGCATTATATATAAGTAAGTGTGCATGTAAATGTTAACTGCCACTAGCCCCATATGTATGTGTATGTTGTGCTATGCTAGTATCTGTATGACAGTGTCAGTTACAATGCTATAATGACGTTACACTCTCTCCCAATACATAGACACACGAAAAAAAAAACAGAGAATCAGCTAAGTATATATATACGACAACCAATATATTGCATGTATGTTTGTAGTTGCATGAATGTGTTCTCTATGTATTCAGGAGCGGAAAGTTAGTCTATGTATGTGTGTGCGAGCTTGTGTACAGCTATTCAATAGTGTCTATAATAATACCATTGCAAAATATTTTCTTGTACGATATTGCAAAAACAGCCAAACCCAACGAAACCCCAATCAGCCAACGAACCGAACCAAACCAAACCAACAATCAACAATCGAACCGACCACTCAGCCAACCAGTCAGCCTGCCAGCCAGCCAACGAGCTAACCAAACTTCCAGCCAACTCACTAAAGTGCCAGGCCGTCATTCAGCCAAATAGTCACTTAAAGTAGGACATCCGTTTTTTATGTGCATACGAAAACACACACACACACACTCACTCTCTCACACAAATAAGGTTTATTTATTTTTTATCAAAAAATATAAAACAAGGAAAAAAAAACAAAATAGTGACGCTTTTGCTATTAAATAAAAAGAAGAACATGAACAAAATATAGAGAAAACGAGGAAATCAAAAAAAAAAAAAAACACAGATAGTTTGATTACGCCAGCGGTATGCAAAGTTTTGCGAAAAAAAACAAACGAACCAACAAAAAATAAATAAATGTCGCGGTTAGGGGTTACAGTTTTTTACGCTCCATTGAAATTGATTACAGCCTGGCAATCTGGGCTTCATTAATGTAATTGACTTATATTTATTTAAATCAATTATACTTTGATCATGCAAGTTTCACATGCAATCGAAATGGGGTACAAAAAAACGGACTTTTAAGGTTCACGAAAATAAACAAAAACAAAAGTTTCGAAATATGCAATTGCGTGTATTTAAATGATATCTCAAAGTAAAAAAGATTTAAAAGTTTTGAAGATTTGCAAAAAAAAATTGAAATATTTTATCACAAATATTTAAA